AAGACAAATATTTAAAAATTTTTTTTGATATATAAATTAAGATAGATAATATGCAAGTCATCGCGTGATTAAAATTTCCCTTCTAAATGAACGATAAAGATAGTTTTTTTACATCAGATATTTTATTACTAAAATAGTAATGATGACCCTTCACATGAAATATCACGTGATATTGACTGATCATGATTCATTTAAATAATACTCGGGCCAAAACCGACTTATCAAGCTTACATATGTATTTATCTATCTTGTATAATTGCATTATCAAGCAACTTATGGTACAAAAATTGGTTAAATATATAAAAAAAATAATATCATAGAGAAAGTAGCAGTGACATAGCGAGAACATTAAATACACTTATAATAATATTGAAGGTCATGTAGATCAATAGTTGGGTGGACCGTTAATGTTTTAAGGTCATACATAATTCTAAAATCTATATTAACGATGATTTGGTAACATATAATTTTTTATATGATAAATAATTACGGTTCACTCTTTAGAATTAGAATTTATATACTCCATATATAAATCATCACTGTTATAACGGACATTTTTTCATAAGCCAAATAGTCCATTATAGAGAGAGTGAACATCCTAGACTTTTGTTTGCTCTATCTGGGTGTATTTGTGAAGTATTTATTTTAAATTATGGCACAAGACCTACCTTCCCTAACTTTGTGGACCTTAATTAAGAATTACGAGTTTACTTGGAATAATGAAGTATATACTACAGACAGCGATCTGCAGAATGTCACACAAATACATAATTTTTTTTTTTGTAAAAAAAAAAAAAAGTAAAAAAAATATTCATAACATCTTTTAAAAAATGGAACAAATCGGCATTTCTAGGTTAGAGTCTTATACTCTATCTTTTACTTACTCATTGTCCGTCATCTATCTCTTATAAACTATAAATTTATTTAGAAGAGAACAATCGCTTTCTCCAAGAAGTGCTGGCCAGCGTGAAATGTCCTTTTCTCCAAAAAGGAGGAGTCCATCTCCCAGAAATAATCGTAGTAGTGGAAGAGATGATAGATACAGAGATGATCGTTATGCTAGAGATAATAGATATAGCCGTGATAGCCGTGATAGTCGTGATAGTCGTGATAGTCGTGGTTCTTATGGTAGGAGCGGTTATCGTGATGATAGAGGATATCGCGACTATCGAGACTATCCTTATCCTTACGAAAGAAGAGGCCCTCCGAGGAGAACTAAACCAATTGATCGGTAGATATTCACCTTTTCTTTTAAAGCATAATTAATTATAAATAACAATACTTTCATTATCAATTAATCTGTTATCAGTGGCACTGAAAAAGAAAGGAGCGATACAACGACACTTTATGTTGGCAATATACCATATACATTTCATGAGAATGATGTGGCTGATATGTTTGAAAGATATGGTCGGTTGAGGAAAGTCACCGTTCAAATTGATAATTATACTGGAAGAAATAAAGGGTTATTATTAATTCAATATTTGCACTTTATATAGTCAAAAACAATTTATATTTATTCACAAACGCTTTATTTTAGATTCGCCTTTGTAGAATTTGAAGATAGGAAAGATGCAGAAGATGCGTATGATAAATATTATGGTGCCAATATTGAAGGTCGTAGATTAAAGTTAGATTGGGATATTGGGTTATCTAGAAAAGATCAACACCGTAAAGAAAAACCTGGTTTTTCAGAGTACGGGTAAGTTTTTTTTTTCTCTTTTTTTTTTTTTTTGAGATACAATTTATAATTAATATAATAAACTTTTTTTCAAAAAATAAAAAATTCTAGACGTCCAAATTATGATTCATGTATGTATAATATATAGATAATATTTTATATGTAATTATTATTAAAATCTTATTGTTATCGTTTGTAGATGATCGTGGAACTTCACCACCTGAAGTAAGGGAATTAAGTCCAAATTATAGATCTGGTGCTCATTCATCAAGTCCTTATTCCCATCAATATTAATGAATGAATGTTAGGTTTTTATTATTATTATAATATTATTATTGAAGGAACATTTATTATTAATATTTTGCAAAAAAAAAAAAATATATATATATATATATATATATATTGGTTAATGATTAATTTCTATTCAAAAAGCTAGAAAACTTTTTTTTATTTGGAAATATTAATGGATGGATTATTAATGTACTAGATGATGACACCATCAACAAAAATTACAAATATTAACATACATAAATACATACATACGTACATTCATAAATATCTATTCTTTTAATTTGTTGAGATTAGCAAGACTTTGATTGATTGGTTGATTTCATCAAGAATTTCTAAATATATTAAAAAAGGGTTTCTTTGAAAAAAAGGATGGATTGGTTGATTTATTATTTGTTGACTTCTTGATGGTGATGACGATGAATGATGATAAAATTATTCATTGATGAGTTGATTTATTTTTATTTGTTGATTGGTGAGCTGATTTGTTGGATGATAAATTGATTTGTAATAGATAAAAGTTGATTTGCAGTACATAGAAAAGTCGATCTTTTAAGGTGTCAATTAAATTTTGTGGACTAAAAATATGTGTTAATGAGATTAAAAAGGACATGAATGAGTAAAAAATTGAGTTTCACAAGGTCTGATTTGTTTTGTCACGATTTGTAGATTTATCTGATTTCTTTATTGATTTTACTTCTCTAATATTATATAATATTATATTTGGAGTTGTAAAAGAAAAGGATAAAGATCAGTGATGAATTGAAATTCTAAAGTGAGTTAAGAGGATGGGCATGAATATATGAAGATCACATTCTGTACAAAGTTATTAGTAGTATATATCTTAAAAACACATACATTACGAAATTCTAGATATTGCACTAATAAAATAAAATTTTACGCGATCCATGCTCAATTATAAATATTTTATTTTATTCCACTATATGAATAACAAAAGGTTTTTTCGTTACAGTCAAATCCGGATTTTTGTTAAATGAGCAATTTGGTTAAATCGACTAAACTATTTAGTCATAATGTTAAGTCAGGACAATGTTACCAAATTAGGATTTTAACACCTCACCTGATATATAATAATAATGATTAAAAAATTCTCGTTTCAACGGATTTTATATCTACAGCCGATTCTTTGATTATTATAATAATGGTGAGTGCTAATCGCGTTACAACTGATTCAACTATATTCCAAAATCCACATTACTAAGGTAAATCTTACATGAATAATTCTCTAGTATTATTCCTTTAGATTACGAAGAACAAATTTGAGATGCAACAACATTAATACAACATATAAGTGATCAAAGAGATGATGTAGAGAATTTAATTGATAGACTAAATTTCAGTTCAACATTAACAGCAGAGGAATATATATCAATTGATGATGATGAGATTAATGAAATGCAACCGACGAGGTTCTTTTGAGCAAATCGAAGAGGAATATGTTATTGTAAATAGTACAACTGTTCCTAATGTTTCAATAAATAAAGTTGTAAAATCTTTTGAAATTGTTTTTAATTTTCTCGAACAAAGTAATATGAATTAAAAGCTTTAAAACCGTTGAAAAAGAAGTATAATCATATTATTATTCAAAATTCAATACAAACATTACTAGTTTTTCGGAAACTTCTAATCGAGGTTCCAAGCAAACCAAGAGTAAAAAACATACTAAAGAAAAGTGAAAGTGTTACCGTTGTTGATGGGTAAAATTATTATGGATATATTAAACTTTTAAGGGTAAAATTGATATAAAGTTTTGAAAAAACTTAAAATAATAAATTTTTAAAAAGTCCATGATAATAATGTAAATTTAACCGGTTAAGTTAACCGGTCCAACTTCCAAGCTCTTCAATAACATAATCTTGATCAAATTCAATTTCTATCACCATTATTAATTGTTGAAATGAATGAATTATATATTATATTTATTAGCTACTAAACCATTTTACTCGCTCATATTTTTATTACTGTTACACGTGTGTTCAATCCAAGTTAACCTGATCGATTAACTTATTAATTAATCAACAGGCTTAAAAACGGGTTAAACTGTTAACGGTTCCATTTGTCAATTCAAAGTATGCTTTACTTAAAATTAGGAATCCTATGACCGTGTGTTCGAATTAGTTGGTTTTTTTGCCTAATTATTTATTATCAATCCAGTACTTTTATGAATAAATAAATGCGTGTATTTAAAGAAACCTTTTTATATGATCATTTCCAAATGGCAGCTCTTCATCTTATTCCTGTTTCATGTCAAAAAAAGATTGTGGTAAAAATTTTTGTTTGTAGAAATCGTTCCATCAAAAAAGCCTACAATTATTTAGAAGATGGTGAACACAAAGACACGTCTGATGCAAAAATATCGCAATGATGGTGTGATTTTGTTGGATTACTTACGCGTAAGGCACCTAAATTTTTGATTCGTTTCATTCTATAGCAATCATTATCATTCATTAGTTATATTTATTATTTAGATTTAATGAATTTAATGATGAATTGTGCAATTGTAAATTGTATTGCTTTTTTTATTCGTCATCATGTTATCATTATTGTTATCAACTAAGAATAATATTATTATTATTGGTGATGGTGGCTGAAACTACCTACTTGGTGCGCTGAAATTGCCGAAATTAATTAGCCTAAACTTGGGCGAAACTAATTTTAATAATTGCTAAAATTGGTGATTGATTTAGATACTTATATGTTTATTATAAAAAAATATTGGACCCACCATAGTATTTGGCGAAACACCTTTCTTTCAAAAATAATTTCGGACATATGACTAAATAATATCCTTTATCAATTTTTAAATATACACAATCTTGGTTTAGCAGATAGGCAATTAGAAAAAATTTCCCAAAGATCATTATTATATTAATATTAATTAATCAAGAAATCCGTTATATTGATTATTATTATTATTAAACCAGTCTTGGACCTCGATCCATTAATATCCATTAAATAAATTGAGATTCATTGTGTAATACAAATTATAAAAAAAAATTTAGGAATCCGTTTACGTGAAGCAAAGTAAATTTTTTTTTTCAAAAAGAAATTAGCACTCGGTCGAATACTTTGGTGTGACATTCTTTATTTTTAAGATTTGCAATTTATTCATATTTGCTACTGTTATCTTTATATCTATTAAGTTGACAAATTAGCATTTTTTTTCCTAATAATCTTAAAAAAAAATTTTTCTTTAATTAATTTATTAAAATTGGTAAGTGGGAGAGAAAGAATATAGGTTATATATATATATATGGTCTTATGATGATTTAAAGTTCAAAATAAAAATTTAAATGAATGGTTTGTTTGTCACATTGTACAAAACATCGTGTTTGTTATTGTTATTATTATTATTATAAAAAAAAGTTATCGAGATATCACGATAATAAAAATCTTGATCATATATTAATACAATATCAATCTAAATTTTTTCCCAATGAAAAGAATGAAAAAGAAGAAAAGTAAAATTTTTGTAATTTTCCAATTATAAAATTTTGTTTTTTTTTCTAAATAAATAAACGCACATATATAAATATTAACTAAAGTACATTAGGAAAACATATTTATATTATCTTAAACACGCTCTTTCTTTCTTTACCTTTTTTCAAAGTTTATTTTCTTCGTTATATACACACGCGTTCTCAAAATTTTCTTTATTTCGACAAATGGCACTTCCAAAAGTATTAAGTCCTGGTTTTTGGTTAGATAAAGTTCTTAGGATATTCTTAAAACTAGTATTGGCCATCTTGTTACATGTTTTATATTTGATTAAAGGTGAACAAGAACAAGTCCATGTAAGAAAAGTTGAAGTTACCGTTAAAAATGTTCCCAACAACAAAAACAATAAAACTAAAGATAATAAAACAATTAAAGATAATATTAATGACGTTGAAATAATCAAAAACAACATAACAAAACCCATTGATGTTTTTAATAGTCCCACGATAGATGTATTTTCTAAAGAAAATACCATCGATAGCAATGATAATGACAATAACAATAATAACAGTTACGAAATAGTCACTGGAACTCTTATTGAATTAAAACCGGATGAACTTGATGAAAATTCAATTGAAAAAAAAGAAATTTCTATGCCTATCATTCTCAATACTATTAATGATATTATTACTAACAATCAACCTGATGATAAAAAAGAAGAATATCAATCATCAATTGATGAAGATGATGAATCAGTTAAAGAAGAGTACCAATCATCAATTGATGAAGATGATGAATCAGTTAAAGAAGAAGAGGAATTATTTCAAAACATTTACCATAATGTATCAAGTTTTGAAATGAAAACTTCTCATGATTATAGAAGCAATATCACGAAAAAATCTAACATTATACCATTTGAGGTAAATATTTGAAAAGTAAAGAGATATGGGAGATATAGTAAAGATTTTGAAATTATTAATTATAATTTTAATTTATTTGTTTATTTACAGTTCCATTGGAAACATGGTGGTAACAGAGTCTTCATTACTGGTGACTTTGATAATTGGTCAGGTATGCAAAATGCGCATATGATATAGATTACTGACAACCTAAGGATTAATATACGATGTTAATGTTATTGTTTATTGTTTATCGTTTTATAGCATGTAAACATGAAATGTCGAGAATTCCAAAAACAAATGATTTTGTTGCTATTATTGATATTGATTGCACTAAACAACATGATTTTAAATTTGTTGTTGACGGTGAATGGTAAGAATAAATATTTATAAAGTGTTTTTAGAAAGTATACTGAATGAATTAATCATTTGTTCATTTTTTTTTTTTTGCGGATATTTCGATCAAATAGGAAATTCAATTGGGATCTTGAAACACGTTATGATGAACGTAAGTTTAGCTATTATTCATCATATATTGATATTATCTTTATAGCAAAGATGATAATGTAATAATAACCATAATGTATAATGATTTTCTAATTAGATGGAAATATAAACAATTTTATCTATGCTGCACCAACATCTGATTCTTTGAATCCTGAATATAATGACAATGTTGGTAAGTATTATATCGATTATTATGTGCACGAAAATACTTTTAAATCTATTTTATATTTATTTTAATATATGTTTATTTTTGTGTAGGATTCCTCAATTCTCACTTTACTGCTGCATATTAAATAACATAAATAAATAAAATCATCCATTCTTGTAATATATATTAGTTCTTATCTATATATATTTAGTCTTTTTGTTAACGTCGATTACTTGACAACTATGGTTGTTTAACTTTGGGCTATCCTTGTCAGTTGATTGCTAGCAACCCACAATAATACGGTATTTGTTTAAACAATTAGTTTACAATTTACATCGGTTCTCGTTTACTGCCTCTTTCTTGTACCCAGAAAGTTTCGGCGAATTTGTAATGGCACAGGATAAATAAATAAAGATGGCCCTTTTATAAGATTCCTTTTTTATTTACTTGCGACCGATATATTTCAGTCGTTACACTACACTGTTTATATTTTTATTAGGTCGATTGCAATCTCGCTTTGGTTTATTTTAACATCCTTATGGGTTTGGTTATTATAACAATATCCTTTGCTTGCTCACTAAACAAACAACATCGCTAATGCTCATTAGTTACTCAACATTAACTCCACAATTGTTGTCTTTTCACCAAAGCATTTTGTTTTAAACAAACATAAAAACAACGGTTTTATTTTTTAAAAAGTTTAAGGATTCATTATAATTTCAATCGAGTATTTGTTTTCTCAGCCTTTCCAAGTGAGGAGGACATGGATGAAATTAACCTCCCGCTTTTTCAAGTGAAGACTAGAAATTGTTCAATGTCTTTTTATCTTGAAAATTTTCGTTAATTTAAAAATCATTTTCAAAAAGGGTCATCCTATATACAGAAAGGTTCTTTTTATGAAATATACAGAACCTATGTGACAAATATTTGAGTTATTAAATTTATGTGTACAAACAAAATTATGATTATTAAATTAACTATTCTTTTTTTCAAGTTTTTCTTGAATTATGGCATGAAGTGACGGTACGCGCAGCACAAGATACTGGCACATCTCCATTATCCTCGCCAACATTTCCCGATGGTATTACCGATAAATCATCTGCAAACAAAGTAGAAGTACAAATAACTGTTGATGAAGGAACTGTTTTTGATGATCCAGCTGGCTTATTTGATCATTCTTTTGAAAGAATTCAAGCAATAATAGTAAAAAATGTTTCCAAAGAATTTTTGAATGGATTGAAAGTTTATAGTAAAAAGTATTAATTATTATCTTTACTAAATTGCAAGCTGATCGGTCATTGTTCAAGTCAATAACTTGTCTTTTTATTTTAGCAGTAATAGTAATAGCAATACTGTTCTTCTTGAATTATTACCAGATCTTTGTGCCCCTCTTTCTGATCTCGCACAATCATTTAACTTTTTATCGAATAATCTACCAACAAGATTTTCAAATTAATATTCAAAGAAGTTTCCAAGGAATTGCAGGGTTACATTTGGGATCGTATTCTTATGCGAAACCAATTTTCTGAAATGGGCGGATTCCAATTTAAAGCTGATATGGAAAAGGGATTATTCTTTATTGGGAAAAGATGGGTGAAAAAACCAGAAAATTATTTCAAGAGGTATTTCATTCATTCATCTTTTTTTTTCATTTTTAAATGATCAATTAGCCATAGAAATCAACTTTAACATTTATAATGGCTGTTTTTTCTCCCTTTTATTATTAACAGGATAAAAGAAGCTTGTATTTTGTTGACCCTTCCATCTAAAAAGAATATTAAGTCGACAGTTAATCATGATAATGATGATGAAGACAAAAGATCAAAACAAAACTCATTGTCATATGTGACTTCAATACTTTATAATGAAGAAGTAGAACCTATAGAGATAACTAGAATGTTGGAAAATCTAGGTATTCATCATCTGTCAGCTAAAGAAGCAAAGGATATTGTTGAAAGAAGAATTGAATGTTGGAAATAATAAAATAAAAATGAATTTTAGTGGGCAAAGAATTTTAACAATTTTGCATTCAAAGCTTAAAAATAAAACCTTTGACCATTTATTTATTTAAAAATAAAATTCTAATTTTTGTACTTTGTGCAATTTGAGAGATAACGGTAAATCAGTTGATTGATGATCATTCATATCAACCAATATATTAATTAATGTATTAATATTAATATTAATAAAAAAATTCCGAATTGGTTCCAAAATATCTCTCTATTATTATCATTATCTTTATAACAAGTTCAAACATCATAAAATAAATTGTGTTACAAATGCACCCATCCTCTCTTACATTGAAAGAGGATCTCTATGTAAAGCTATAGTTAGCATTATTTCAAAACTAAGGTTTTTATCCAATATTACCTATGATTGGTGAAGGAATGAATCAAATTTAGTGGTGATTCTCACATTTCCGAACCTTCAAAAATTAGTCCGCATTCTGCAATAGGTGAATTTTTCATCGGAAATTAGGGTGATCTATTTCAATGTAATTTATTATTTTTTTTAATTCTAGATCGGTGGGCTAAGATAACAGTAAATTTCATCATTACGACTCATTTTCAATGAGATGATAAATCCATTCAATAGGGAAATACACATACTTCATAAACGAGCACCATTTGGCCTTTGGACCCTTTTTTTAAACCTTATTATTATATCATTGTGTCTCGACATTAAACACGAGTATTTTTAATGTGTAAACTGGTCAGCAAAATGATAATTAACTCTAAAAAAATTTTATTTGCATCGCTAAAAAAACTATTTTACTGTTGAACAGCCCGTCAAACCAATGGCCCCACCTCAAAAACCAAATGGGTTTTTTGCTAGTAGTATGCATAACATTATGATCATATCGTGCTGAATTTTGGGGTTGCATATGCATTTATGTTATAGTAAGTAAAAATTTTCCCGACTTGTTTACTATTATAGTAATAACAATAACAACTAGCATTGATTAATTTATTTCGGAAAAATAGTAATTTACTGATCAACAAAAAATAGTTACACAAACCTGAACTATGTAAATATAAACAAAATTTTCCTCGGGAAAAATAAACCTGATTTAATTAACAAGGACTTAACTCATATTAATATAAATATGATGTACTTTTACCAAACAAGATTAAAAAGAATTTTTAGAAAAATCCAACTTATAAAAAAAAGTGGAAATTATGATTATATGCAATAATAATATATCCAACAATAATGGTTGTCAAAAAAAAGCAAAAAATTGTATATACAATAATAACACTACTTACGAATGTAGACAGATTGGTGGTAATGGTGGTAGTAAAGTGATAAACAAACAGATACATAATGGTATTAAAATGATAAAAAAACATTTACATGATGGCAGTATTGCAACAATATACAGAGCTAAGGATAATGAAACATTACAAAAATCACTATATTTCCTGAAAAGAATGATCAAACATATAACTTCGATTCATTAATGCGTGCCATATAAAAATTTTAGGCAGACAAACAATACATAGATATTATATTTTTTATTATTATGTAATATTAATATTAATTATCATTAAACTATTTAAAAGGGAAATCAACCCTTTGTAATATTGTAACTATCATTAGTGATGTTGTTGTTGTTGATGATGTCAACGTTATCAACAAAAAGGTCAACTAAAATAATCAATTAAACTTTTTTTTGAACAACTAATAGTCAACTATCTTAGTCAATTAAATGGTCAACTATTTTAATCAATTATTTAGTCAACTTCTAATACTAATACTAATACTAATACTAATGTTATTATTGTCTGGCCAATTACAATTTTTGTGTTTTATCATTCAAAATGGAAAATTTTTATGTGGAAAAGTATCAATACCATCAATATGACATGATGATGACAACAATAGTAGTGTGTTGTTGATGATAATTTTACATGTGAATGAATAAACACTTCCAATGCAAGGTTCAATAATTTATTGGCTTCAAGTTCCAATGATTTAAGCGGTGGTTCCAGAAGACCTTTAAAAAAACAAATCGTAACACATAGTTTTGTGTGGAAGCGTTTTGAAAAGTGAAAGATTCAAATGGAAATGAATTCACAATTTGCAAATTAAAAAAAAATTTTTAGTTGACTAAAATAATCAACTAATAGCCGACTAAAGAAATTTTTGACCAACTAGTAGTTGACTAAGGATTTTTTGGACGATCCCAACCTCTATAAAAAGGTTTATAATAATAATATTTGTGATTACCATTAACAAAAATTGGTAAAGAGCCTGATACCAAAGGATGTTTGAGCAGGCTCGATGATTCTAGGTTCATGTTCTTCCAATTTTCATATTGCGTTATTGAGTGAATGAGCAAGAAGTGACAAAATACATTTGTCATTGAAAAGCCAATAACACTTTGTATAATTTTATTATTATTATTATTTATCAGTCCTCAGAATGTTGCAAAATAGTGTTATTACACAAAAAACAATACTTCTCTTAGTAATAAATACCCTACCTAGTTTATAACTTTGTCACATAAAAGTTTTAAAACTATATCTTTATCTTCCTAACTTCAATCTGTGTTTAAAAATTGGCAATTGATTAATTTTAAGAAATGTCCCTGGATATAAAATCAGTTTAGCTGTAAAAATGCCATTTGGATCAGAAGATATGAATATAGAAATGGAAATTTAGAATGGAGAAATGGAAATATGTATGTATGAATTAATTGAAGGTAGAATGAGGATGGTGTGTATAGATTATGAATAGTTCTGTTGAAAGGTTGGAAATTATTTAATTTAATGTTACTGGTGACATTAAATTTTATCTGCATGAGCTTAAAAATGCCATTTAGGTGAATATAGAATATGGGGAGTTTTCTAGCAAAAGGGACCTTAGTTCATATTAATTCGTGATCCATGATAGAAGTGTATACTGCGCCACGTTTTCTGAAATTCAGGGTTGCTAAGTAGCAAAGTCAAAAAGTTGTAAAGAAAACAATAATAAAAAATATGTCAAAATAATGGTTGGGATTTTTTGCATCATATTATTTAATATTCTGTGTAATATTTATCATGTGTGCTGGTAGAAAAAATTCGGAAGTTGGT